GTCAGCTGGCTTGGGTCCTGGGCCAGGACCATCATCACAAGTCGCAGGTCAGGTAGAACTCTGGGTAATCTTTCCCTCCAATACAAGTGACATCTTCGTCATGACTATACATGGAAGCAGTGTTGAAGGTGTGTGGGTCACTGAGGAAGCAGTGTTGAAGGTGTGTGGGTCACTGAGGAAGACAAAAGTTGTAATTCATGTTTTTCCTCGTCTTTCTCTGCCCCCAGGCAAAGTCATAGCCTGCTTAAGTATGTGCAGTTACAGTGTCACCGGTGTTCATTTCTCAGACCTAAATTTTTATAGACTAACCCCCACTTAGGATGATCATGGGCTCTGTCCTAGGACTGTCTGGCAGCAGACTAAAAAGAAAAATTTTGGAAGCATGTAGAGGGATTTGTCTTTGAGCAAGTGCTTTAACTTTTCTGAATCTTAGTATTCTCATTTCTAAAATACGGATATTGTCCATTTCATAGGATGTTGGTCTAACTTATTTATAGTACTGGACCCTCAAATGTGAGCGGTCTCCCCCCAGCCCTATCTATCTCTCCAACTCAGAGCAGCAGTTAGTTATAAACTAGCAGGAAATGCTCAAAGAGAAAAACCATCACCCAATTTCATCTGACATCCGCCTGGAAAAATGTGCATTGTCTAGGTGGGCTCTGCGGGTTCCCATGGTGAGGTGCTGACATCCCTTCCGCTCAGGTCAGGAGGGAAAGTGTGCAGACCAGTTTGCTGAGCGTCACCTCCAGCAGTGGGAGTGGAAGGCAGAGGGGTCACTAACGCAGCCCATGACCTGCTGAACTGGGAGCTTCTGGAAGGTTTACCTTCTGTTTTATTATTATCATTTTTGTTATTCTGTTTATTTCCCTATTATGATATATAGAAAACCCTTAAGCCAAGAAAGGCCTAATAATGGGAGTAGCAAGGAAATAACACGAGGGGAAGAACTCTTCAAAGGTTAAAATGTCACTCCTGAAATAGACCTCACTGTTGAATGTATCACATTACACTGATCGTTAGAATTCAGACTCTTCTACAACATAACTGGAGATACGAAGGCTCTAATGAGACCATCTGAAAATGGCTCTGTAATTTAAACACCTAGCATTTACATAACGATGGCTGTCACTTACAGATCCATACACTCTGGATCTGCCTGTTCAAAGGGTTTAACTCATTTAGTCTCAACAACCCCAGGAGATGAGGCAATTATTGCTTCCGAGGCGTGTGTAGTAACTTGCCCATCTCGCCACGCAGGACGTGCGCAGCGGGATTCAGCCTCCACAGGCTGTACTCTTAATGCCCAGGCTGATGGTTGCACGTAGAGAGGAATAATACATTTTTTAAAAGGTTACTTTAAAAATCTTAAAACATTTAAAACGTTGAAAGATTTTTAAAAAACCCTTTAAAAACACCAAATGAATATCATTAACTCTAAAACAGCATCTGAGGCTGAGACTCAAATGCTAATAAGGACGTAGGTTTAATGAGGCCCAACTATAAGGATTTTGTTTTATTTTGAATAAATTCGCCGTTATAGTTGCTTTTTACAACACTCCCCTTCCCAAACACTCCTTGCTTCATCAGTGTGTATGAATCCTTTCTCTTTAGACAAAGGTGCAAGGTGGAGAAGTGAACTGCTAGCTCTACTCAACACCGTCGACTGATCTAAGATTCTAGATCCTCAGCTCAGCCTCTCTCACCTAATACTTATTTTGGATATGCTGAGTTCTCTGCCAACTACACCTCAACATCAACAATCAAATCTGCTGATGGAACTGAAATAAATTACCTAAATCCATAAGATCCCAGTTAAACAGCTTAAGTGGGGGGAAAAAAAAGACTACTTGATAATGGCAAATAGCAATTTTAGGTAAAAACATAACAAAAGAGCAAAAGTCTGAAAAGCAATGGTGTGTGAAAAAGTCTGCTACCTGAAAGAGAAGAGTTTCTTATACGCTGTTGTAGAACATAATATGTTCAATCATGAAGATCATGAGTTTCGGAATTGTGACCATATCTGAAATAGAGTATTTTCCATTCCTAAGAGGTCACAAAAGAAGGGAAATGAAGCTACCTGGGGGTGGCATTAGTAAGACACTAAGCTTGATTCATGCAAGGAGAGATGCAGAACACTAGAAAGATCTATACAACAAACACCTCATCAGGTCACAGGAGGTGATGCAGGAGCCTCAAGGCAGAGCCAGCAAACAGCTTAGGTGAATCATTGATAGAAAATGATTAGAACAGTAAGGTATGACTAAGGTGTCTTTGGTATTTAATTGCAGTTCTCATATGAATTAATTATTGATACTGAACATGTGCTTATCCTACAGAAGACCCATATGTTATTACCCACTGGAGCCAGGCAAGCCATGGGACTAGTGAAGGGGGCTTTTATTTATTTAGCATCAGTGCTGCTGCATGAGGTCAATTTCTTCAGGAAACAAAAACAAACCACCATAAGAAAAATGCATTTTTTAATTTTTTTTCCTCAGTGGCAGAATCACATAGCTGTTTTGATATGGATTTCCAGCAGGTTTAAAATACTGCTTTTTGGAGTTGTAAAAATTCCATTACAGAAACACACAGAACAGACATAGGATAAATAGCATCAATCAGTTTATCAGATGGTTGTTCTAAACATATTCTTTGCCTTATTTTCCTATAAGAAAAGTTTGAAGGATCAAATTGCAAACTACTATCAGCATACAACTATGGTTTGGGAGAAAAAAACCTAAAAGGAAAAGATAAAATCAGTAACCCGGTTCACTTGCACTGCTATGTCTATGTCACTGCGGAAGTTTGCACGTTTGTGGGTATTTTGTATTAGCTAGGAAATTTATAATTGCAAAAAAACCAAAGGAAATCTGAAACCTATTCTTTATAAAACAAACCATTGCTCATCAATGTCTTTTTCCCTTGAGACATAAGCTGCTTTAAGAAAGGGGTCAAAAGCTATAATGGACAACAATTTGTTATTCAACTGAAATATCTGGACAGAAAATTGGCAAATTTGGTACATGGTTTAAAAAGTGAAACTTTACAAATTTATAAAAACTAAATTAAAACATGCACAGGCTTGTTTTTTTATTGCCAAATGGTCAAAACCTTAAATTGTTTTTAAATCTGAAAGACTAAGGACCTTAGGGAAAAAGCCACTCCTAACACATAACAGTTTCATTGTAACAGTAGTAGAAAGCAGCTTAACAGACGGCACTAAAGAAAAAAAATTAAGTTACCATTGAAAACAGTAAACACTGTTAAAAGCTAGACTTGTATTCCAATTTTAAGCATAACTACTTATGTGGATGGTAATGTTCAAAACTATTTAATGTTCTTATGGAAATGATATTATGATGTTAACACAATTTACAAAGCACTGTGAATGAATGTGCTAGCAGTTCGAATTTAAAGTCACACATGATCATGTTAATATCATTCACCAAGGACAGTCCTCAGGTGTCTACAAATATCTACACTAAAGGTCTGGACAGAGGAAGCAGAGGGACGCTTTGTTTCTTATGACGAGAGTCACAATACAGCAAGTGCGCTCACATTGTAGCTACAATTATACTAGTCACAATTTTTAATCTTACAGAATAAAGCTATAGTATGTGAAATTACAATATATATATCTTCTTTAAAACCATTTTTAAAGAAGGGCAGATCTGTCATTTGTTTAGAAGTCAAAAACCAGCAGAAAAATGTAACTGATAAATGCAGTCTTGAAAATATTTTGTGGCGAATTATATGTTAATTTTCAAAATACAACAGAATTTTTGGTCCATGAGGCCCTTAAATAACAAAAGGGTTTCCATTTATCAATAGAAATACAAAGTTTGTGAAAAAATTTCAATACTTATTAAAACATCTTTTTACAGAATGCTTTTTTTTTTTGGGGGGGGCGGGGGGAGTTGAACACAAGAAATATCTCTAATAAATAATGGGTGTGACCAGGTAAAAAACATAAGTGAGTTAAGGTACTTTAATACGACTGTCTCACAATCTTCTTTTGAAGACCATCAATAACAGATTTTCTTTGAATGTCAAACTGAAATACAATTATTATTTCTTATATTAACATATCTCAGGATTTACTACTTAATACGCCTGCTTTTCTCCCTCAAGGGCAGGGATCAGCAAACTATGGCCCATAGGCTGAATCTGGCCTGCTACCTGTTTCTGCAGATAAAATTTTATGGGCATGCAGCTACACCCAGTCGTTTACATACCGTCTGGGGCTTTTCTCCTGCTGTAAGGGCAGGAGTGGTTTATAGAGGCCATATGATTCTCAAAGCCTGAATTATTTACTATCTGATCCTTTACAGAAAAAGTTTGTCAACTCTTGCCTTAGGGGGTTTCCGAGACCAATCTAAAATAATGCATATATTTCTCTACGTTTATTAACACTCTGCTTTCTCTTATTCTAATGCATGTGTGTCGTTCATGTATTTTATTTGTTGGTATACACCTAGGAAGCTCAACACCCTAGCCGAGCTCCCATGTTTAATCTATACGGAACATAAACCTTCTCTCTGGCCATAACCTGTTTGGTTTCGGGTCGCTCAGGAATTCTCCAGGAGTTGGATGATAATAAACTAGATCCGCCATATACTAACAGAATGGCTGGAAAACTGTGTGTCTCATTTTATCTTGAATAAGGAAGCTGGACAACAACAACAAAACAACAAAAATGAAATATACCTTAGGGTACGTGCCATTAAGTCAAGGGAAAAACAGCTTGTGAGTTCTCAACACACACACACACACACACACACACATCCAGAGCCACCTCCACTTATCACAAACTAACAGCTACAACATAATCAAAGAATATTTGTTTTATAAATATATTACTGTCTATATACACATAGATACATCCATAAAAGACATGTTAAATAATTATCTGTATAATCAATACTACTTTAAGTTTTTTTTGTGTTTTAAAATTACACAATTAAAATTATCAAAATAATTCTTTAAAAATACCAGGAATAAAACCAGTGAAGAGTTGCTTTCCATTTTAGTGGTTCTAAATCTTATCATTGGTCATCCAGACTCCAGACTTGGTCATCCACAACTCAAAGAAACATAGTTTAATTAAGGAAAAATCAGCCATCAAAAGCATAACACCCTCCTATTGTTAATACTTCATAACAAATATGTATGCAGGTATGTATATATATATTTATAAAAATGCTCTTTTTAATTATATTACATATTCTCATAAATGAATTTTCATAAAAACACAAAGTTCAAGTTTCTAACAGTATCAAATATTTTATACTGGTGTGCATTTCTTTCAAATGTTTAGGTCAATGACAAACTCTATCAGGATATAGAGATCATAAAAAGGAGACTGAAAATTTACGTACCACATGCAAGAAAGGAGAAAATACTAAGGGCCAGTATATGGCCACGTGGGTACTATTCCCTCTGTACTAAGACACAGAGACAACGAACTGGCTAATTACTGTGTCGAGTACAGTCAGCTGTCAATCATTGAGGGGCAGAATATTCCATCTGAATCCTTTCTCTTCTATCACTTGACCACTTCTGGCAGTTTCACTACTTACTAACACAGCTCTCTCCAGTTATTTGCTAGCAAGTCTGGTAAAAGATACGATTAAGGTAAAAGTCGAAGGTTTGGGATCAGCTATGGATTTAATTTAATAATGGATCCATTTACTTATTGCTTTAGATAACTAAGAATTTGCTGTCTCAAGTCTGCCAAATATCTCATTCTTCAGCTCTGAAAGCAACACTGGTGCTTCAAAAAAAGAGGGACAAACTGTCCTCTTGACATAAGAAAACTGCTATTTCTTAACTCACTATTAATTATACTGAAGAATTTCAGTGTGGGCAGTTCAGAGCTATTCACTTCGGGACAAGTGGCGACAAGCTACACTCTTTCTCCACAGTCTAAAATCCATGAAGCAATGACAAATCGTCAGCTAAAAACATTAGGAGGTCAGATTAAAGGTCTGATATACATTTCACCTAAGATCTCATTAAATAAACTTAGTAAAGTTTGGCAGAATCTTCAAATAATTAAAATGCAAAAATTAAAAAAATGGAAGCAAAACTTACAAGTAGATTTAAAAATGATTTCATACTAACAAAAAGAAGGTTTATAATATGACTAAAATAAAAGGTACTACACTTTTGTAACCCTATTTTTGGCACTGGTTTAGCCTCTACATTTAAACTTGTTCTACAGATAGTGACAATCAGGAGAACAATTTCACGAGTGAGTAGGGTCGCTCTCAGACAGACACCACTCAGAATGGTGTGTGCGGCACCATCCAAATTATTTCTGGGTACAGATGAGGGCCACACTCACCTCAAAAACAACAGCAATAATTGTGTAGAACACCACTTTCCTGAATTAAGTTTGCTGAACACGGTTCAGATTATTGGATATGTCAATAAGCACAATGCCTTTTAGAAGCATTTACTGTAATACCCAAATCCTACTTCGTGCAACACACAGTGTCACACAAGTAGTGAAAATGTTATCCTAGTCAAAGGTGCTTGGACATTATTTTCAGGCAGCATTTTACCTTTATTTTAAGTTAAGTTCACACTAGGTAAGTTTTAGGAGAAAGAAAATGCCAATAAATTTATTTAATATATTTTAATATATAAAACTAAGACAGACACTTTTATTTACCTAAATTGTTACTTTTATTTTCTACGCTATTCTAGACTTCAATTTTACTTTAAAAATTTGTATTTAAATAAGGGATAAAATGTTGCCCAAAAGTCTAATCATAGTTACGCACTTGTGTTTTAACTAGATCTACAAATCAAATAGTTCTTATAGTTAAAAAGATACAATTTGTATCAACAGTAAAAGGTACTTTCTGGTTTTTCAGGGCTTTACTTCAAACTGGAGCATGTAGAATAATCAGAATAACCAGGCGTCTAGGCAGACTACAGAAGCAGGTCAGAATGAGTCTGTTACACTAAGTAAGATTCAAAGACTGGAGGCAAAGGCGAAGCTCTGTCAATCACACGACTGTCTGCCACTGATTGCAGTAACTATCTCCTAACTGACAAAAATGAATTCACGTCTAGCAAAACCCATGACTTTGAAACCAGAAATATCCCTTACTAATACTAGAACAGACTTTAGTCTGTATCTAAAACTACACTATTTGTGGCAAGAATCTGGCCTTAATAATATAACAGGCCCCCCAAAAAACTACCTTCAGGAAAATGGAAAATATACAGTATCTTACAAAAACTTTAAGTTACCATTTACAACTCCTCCGTCACCATATCCATAGTGCAGTATCAATAAATGTTGCATATCCTCAACACATAGAACCACCTCAGGCGAGCCTTGATAAATAGCAGGAAAGCTAAAGAGTATATTAAATATAAAAGTTGCATTGAGAATAATTAGATTCATTAAAAACAGGCAAGTACTGTGAAAGGGTTATTTTATCCAGTATTGTTGTGCCCCCAAACAAAAAGACAAACATTAAAAATACAGGTTAATGGAAATCTAGGAATTCAATTCCATCTCTACTGTCTAGAAGCACATCACAGCTAGATGACAAAGCTCTAAACTGTAACAGTTACGGCTTTTGCCTTATTCTTTAAAAAAAAAATGGAAACAATTTTTTCCATTGATTGCATCTGCTTTCCTTTAAATCAACCATATTAAATTAACTAATTACTTAACAGAAAAAAAATCCAAACCAAAATAAAACAATGAAAAGTGCCATATTGTAAATCATTCTAATATATACTGTTACCCATTTCAACATAAACTGGTAACTTACATTTTGTTTAAAATATAAAGTCAGTGCTGTAGTATAACTTTGTTTCTATAAATAATGATTATAGCACAAAGAAGCCCACTTTCCCCAAATAAAAATAACTTAAAAAGCTGTAAAAGATTCCAATTAAGCTTGGCTTGAAAAAACAGTTGGCTAGGTCTAGTCAAATGTCCAATATTCTGAAGGTATTGTAATTGCTTGCAATTGATAGACAAACACCAAGTTAATAAAACATGAAACAAGGATAAAAAGTGCTGCATATAAACCCCTGATGCACCAAAGATTAATATCAAAGATCACAGATACATCTAGTAAATCACACTGGAAAAATTTCCAGCCAAGGATATAGCTTTAAAAAGGAAATGTTAAAAAAAAGTTTGAATGTAAAGCAATCCTGTGAGACTTCCACTATGTGGGGCTATACATACAGATTCCATGATACAGTATTTCACATAAATGGATACTATATAACCTCCTTGCTGAGAAGGAGATCACATGTGCTATTGTAGCAAACCTCCCTCAGCATTTGAGCTGAACAGAAACTACTAAACACCACAAAGATGCATCATCTTTCAATAACCCAGCTGTGATTTCTCCACTAAAATGGCTGCAGCCAGCTGCTGGGCGTCTGTCATGTGAGGGTTTCTTTTCATGACGATTCGAACAAGGTCAGGCGGGAAGATGTTGCACAGGTTGATATAAATCTTTTCTCGGTTGTCTTGGTACCTTGGAGGATCTTGTGGCATTCCACAGTATGGTATTCGCCAAGTCGGCTCCTGCTGTTCAGGTAGGCTCTGGAAGGTGAACTGCTCGTAACATGGCTGTGTGGAGTTATCAGGCAAGGAGTAAGTCTGCCGATAGCCATACGCATCAATCCCATAACTCTGCCTATCCCAGCTTCCCAGCCCTTCCTGGCGGGAGTAAGGCTTTCTTTGTCTTGAAGGAGAAGTGTCATACAACCGAGAGTCAGAAATGCTGTCTATTCTTGTGGCCACTAAGGACCGCCCTAGGTGTGGTGGCTTCGAGTGTGCTGAACTTGGAGGAGAGGGGTAATCGCCAGGACAACTGGACCGGGCCCCCACAGCTGGGTGCTGCAGATGCATAGCCAGGTGTGGAAGAGGATGCTTGTGATGGTACTTTGGTTCTTCATGACTGTAACTTTGCACTCTGGTTAAGGGGTCATGGAAATTCTGCAGAAAGGGTTGGGAATTAAGGCGGCTGTGAGGGTGCATGTGTTGACACTTCAAATTCTCTTCCAGTTGCGGGTCAGGAGAACTGACATAGGACCGGTCATTGTACCCCACGTATGAGTCACTGCTCCCACAGCTCATGCTCCCTTCACTGCTGCAGTCCGAAGCTACAGAACTTATCCTATAATCTGTGTCTAAGGAGAAACGCCTTTCAGGACTTCGTGGGCCTGAGATACTCAGATTTGAATATGCGTTCAACATGGAATAATATCCAATGTCAACAGGCGAGTCACATTTTGGATACTGTTCATAAGGCATTGGCGTTCCATGATTTTTGGTTGCCATCATCATTGGAGGATATTGTCCCTGGGGTCTTTGATCCTGAGGTGGGAAATGAACTCCAGCTGGAAGGCCATTGCTTAAAGATGTAGTGCTTTGGGGTTTTGCAGTAGAAGTAGCCGGTATACTAACTAAGGAAGGGACAGACCTGGTTTCCAATTTGTTTTTGGTAGGAAGCTTTTCCTCTAGGTCTTGGTAGACTTGAGTCCTTATGCTTGGATCCGATTGCCTCTTTGGAGCGCCTCGTTTGACATCAGAAGTGCTATCGGCCTTGGTGCTGCAGGGAACGCTGTTGCTCTTCACCAGTCCTCCTTCATTTGAAGTTTTGGTTGCTGTATTTCTAGACATGGCACGAAGTTCATCAGCCACTGACCGCTGAGGCTGACTGCCCCTTTCAGGATGATAATATTTGCACTTGTGTCCATAGGTACACTTCTTCCCTACGAAGAGTAAAATCCATTAGGCAAAGGAGCATACCACCAGATCCTGAAACATAGGACCGGTCATTGTACCCCACGTATGAGTCACTGCTCCCACAGCTCTTAACTTATGAAAGAAACAGAGGCAGAAATGGGAGATATGCTAAGCATTGCTCTGCTCCTTACTTTTGAGAAATGCCACCTTTCAGTCTTCCCACTTCAGTACTATCAAGAGCTTAGGTAAGAAAGTTGGTCAAATGATTAATAATCACCTCCAGAGTTTTTGGTTAATACCCGTGTCCTCAACTCCTACCTGCCTCTTCTCTCCCAGTATGACTTTATAATCAGGTAGCACATTCTGTTTTGAAGAGCAGAATGTACTGCCGTAATGTGATAAAACCATGCTAATCTGATATGTATCTAGATTTAAGAACTCTACATTTTTAGCTACCTGAAAACTAACTTCATGTATAACTAACTGAGTTTTTGGAACCATGTTTTAATTCAGGGAAATGCATCTGCATTGATCCCAACTAGGTAAAAATAATAATTTTTTCATGGCTAAGACATGTTCTTAAGTTTAATTACAATCAAAAGAACTACATATTACGCCATCCAAAATTTACAATGTTTATTTTTATTAACAAAAGTTTAACAACATGTTGTGTTCTAAAGGTATATATTAAATACTCATAAAGAAAGTTACCGTATGGACAAGGTTGCTTTTTGTGTTCAGGAATGATAGGTTTCTTCCTCAGAAAATTATCCAGGCTTGGGCCGTGTCTGCCAAGAGGGTCATCAGGGGGCATGAATCTGTCATGGTTATAACACAAAACTGTACCTTAGTAGGAGGTTGATAACTGAATTCTAAAGACAGACTGTAAAGATTTATTTACTCTAAGGTATTTTTTTGAACTTTTAATCCAAGTATTTTGATTCAACATTTACAGGATTACAAAAATCAGTACACAAAGTTTTCTTTTCTTAATGAAAACAAAATTAAAATGTTTCAAGCTGAACTTTTATTTGTTTTAATTCAATAAGTTTTGAGACTAGTATGTTCTAATGAATTCTTCCTTCCTCTCAGTCTTGGGATCTCGTAAGGACCTGAGAAAACGATCACAAGGATGTTTTGGGAGAACTTCATCAACATCACTCTTGTGAAGAGTGAGGAGCAGCTGAGGAAGGGAAGGGAGAGGCAGCAGAAAGTAACGGGAAGACTGAAACTAATCCAGCAGCCATTATGCGCCAGATGCTGTGCACACATCATTTCATTTTATCCAAAGATTAATCCCTTGAAGTATTAGCTCCACTTTATAGATTAATACATTTTTCTAATTAGGCTTAGATGAATTAAGTTTTTTTATCTAAGTTCACATGGCAAAGTCAAGATTCAACTATGTCTAACTCCATAGTCCAATCTCTTCCCATTATACTAAGGTACTTCTCGGCCAAGTAGAAGAAATCATAAGGAAATAAACTTATTATTTTGGATGTCCAATGGAAGTAAGAATTCATGGCATGGTAATGAGAAGAAGTTATGATTGAGGAGTTCTAATACTAGTTATGTCACTATTTGAACTAGAAATAAATCAAGTATTCACCCATAAAATGTGAATAATGTATGAACTCTTAAGGGAGTGTCAATATGGATGAATAATAACAGCAATTATAGTGTTTGATATTATTATAAAAACAATATGGCAACATTAAAAGTTTAAAAATAGAAGACAAAGTCACTTAGTCCTATAATCTTAATACAATTATTTTCCACTTATGTGTTACATTTTAGTCATTTTCCTGTATGCATACATCATTTTACAAACACAAATATAATTTTATGCTTTGTCTTTTTAACATAAATATTTTTCCATGTTTCCTAATAGCCTTCATAATCATAATTCTGAACAGCTGAATAATATTCCACTGGGAGATGTATCACAATTTAATTGACTTCTCTATTATAACATTAGTTGCTTTTGAATTCTTGCAATTATAAATTATACAGAAATGAACATATGTGTATAACTCTTCTCATTCCAAGAAATGAGACTATTGGCTTGAGAGGGTATACATATTTTGAAGGCTTCCGCTAAACCATACCAGACTGTATATCAGTTTCATTACATCATTAATAATATAAGGCATATGCAAAAACATTTTTGTGAATTAAATGGGTGAAAAAATAGACTCTGTAGATTTAGTTTGCATTTTTGATTATCAACAGGTGAACTTTTTCCACATATTTGTAAATACATTTATTTCTTAAGAGATATGCTTCTTCATGTCATTTGTCCATTTATCAACTTACTTAATCATGACTAAAGTCCTATGTTGGTAGAACATTAAAAAAAATCATGTATTTAAAAAATCATATATTTAAGTAAGCTATCAATGCTCTAAGTAGATTCTGAAAGGCAGGGTTCTGGGGGTCAAGAGTTCAAAATCTGCTTTCTCTGAAGGCGCAGATTCTCCCTCTGTCACTTATTACAGGTTACTCAGAGTCTTAGACAACTTGCTCTGTTAATGACTTACAGGGAAGGGCAGGAGCCTGTCACTCACACAATGACTCTGCAGTTTTCCTGGCTCCCACTGAGGATTAATGGGGAAATCAGTTGTTGGAAGAAACTTGTCTTAGGTCTGTCAGTGGCAAAAAGAGAGGGCTTCTGGGGCAGCTGCCAAGATGGTTATATTTCCAGGGAAGCAGTATTAAGGGAGAGTAGATGGTTTTACTTACTTGTCATTGACAAATGAATACATCAATAATCGCTCGTCTATGAACTTCTTCCATTCTGGTTTTTCATTAGCCAAATCCCTGTAGTTATCATTGGACACAATGATACCGTCCGACTCGAAAGCCAGCTTCACGATGAACCTGTCGTCGTAGCACACCACGCGCCTCCCCTGGACTCGCCGGGACGGTGTGAACACCAGAATTTTCTCCTTCTCCAGTTTACGCAGAATTTCTTGATCTGCAAGAATAATCAGGCTAGAATTTCAGGAATAAATACCTACGCAACATATACAGCAACTTCATACAATGTGAGCTTTTATAACACTTACTGGATATATGTAATGATTTAATTAAGGATTACGATTTACAGTTTGTAGATGTAGTAAATTTGTAACTCCCAATACTTTTCCTTCAGGATTTTCAATAATAAAGCCTTTAAAAATAGCCAAAAAAGTGAACTTAAAAAACAGAGTTGAAAGCTTTAAAGACCTTTAAAAGTTTTAAAAACTTTAAAAGCATAAAACTTAAACATGACTGAGCACATTCTGATTTTCATTACAAGAAGTTTTTGCTCCAGAGGTGGAGCCACCAGCACTAGCACTGTGAGCACAGCTTCTCACCCATTCTCAGCACAGTGCCATTCTAACAAAGCTCATCACCAAGGATGTGATGGTGGGGGAGTTTGAAAAGAAGTAGTAGAAGCAGTCGAGGTAGCAAAGGGCAGACGGTCCAAAGAGAAAGGAGGCAGTGAGGGCAGAACTGTTGCTGTGGATATGGCCACTGTGTGTTCTGTGTACTCGCCCATGAAACACGTGGTCACAAATGCCAGCATTCTGGTGCGGCTGGACTGAGTGAATGAGAGATGAGAAGTGACTATGTGGGGAAAACAGCCATACAGAGAAAAAGGATAGGTAGAGGAATGCTCATTTTGTCTGTAGTTAGCATCTTCTTACAGCACTTTGTAACTCTACTGACTTGTGTTGTGGTTTTAAAAAAATGGTGCTCGAGTTCCTATTTTGACTAATGATGAAAATTCTCTCTCAACCATCCCTTCTTCCTACTTTCGCTCCTCTACTTCCTGTCTTCCCACCATTGTAAATTCTGGCACCAAGTGCCAGGTATAAGCTGACAGATATCATGATTAAAAAAACACAGGCTCACTACTTCTCAGTGCAGTTTCTCAATGCAGTTCCTAATTTTTCTTAAATCTCTCTCTTCAGTGGACAGTTGCTACATGCCTACTCTATGGTACGTACTGTACCAGTGTCAGTGGCCACCAATATTAAGAATGACCTCTCCTCAAGGAGGTCTCAGTTACTGGGTTGGACAAACACGTAAACTAGGTTGTGAGTGCCACACAGAAGTGTGAGCAGGGTACAGGGAAGCGAGAATGGAAGGGCAATATGGGTCAGCCTGCTCTAACACTGGCGTCTAGACTGCACGACGTTCCTGACGGATGCGTTCATACAGAACAGAGCTTTGGTTCAGAAAAGCAGCAGACTAGAAGTGGAAGAAACGTGGGTGTCAGCATCAGCAAATCACAGAGAAACCTCAGCTTCTGTCCCTGTCTATGTAAGCTATCACAGTCTTCCTGGGCCTGTCTCTTCCTGTCCTCCAGTGCAGCTGGGAGGCTCTGAGGAGTCCACGAGTTACCACATGGAAAAGCACCTGGCACAGGGCCTGGGAAGCTCTCCGTAAATACTGTGTTCTTCCATGGAATCTTGTTTAAGATTTATGTAATTGTTGACCTCTTAAAAATCACAGAAAGCCAACACAAAATCAAAAGCCCAGTCTCAACTATAGGATTTGTCACATTGTGCTCATTTTGTGTGTTCCCCCGATAAACATTTTGAGGGGAGGTGCCCTCCCCACAATTTATCTTTGTGTCATCAGCACGCAGCACAGGAAGCACATCAGTAGATGCTCAACAAATGTCTGTGGAACGAGCCACTGATAGATGTACATTCTTAGGTCTTCCAGTTTATTCCTGTGTTCATGAATAATCCATGACACTATTTGTGGGACTGTTTACTCATAGATGATATGTGTGGATCATCAGCGAAGGGATTGGAGGAACAAGTGTGGAGGCCTACACGCATCATCATCTCGCTTAGTTTGCATTTCTCTAACAGCTAATGAGTTTAAAAGGACACTAATTGGGGTGATAACTAATAAATGATAATTAGTTGGGATACATAATCCTAACTTAAATAAATATGGGTTCAGAACAGCTAGTAAGGTAACTAAATCCCTAGTTCCTAGCACAGTACTGGATATACGGTTTAGTGCTTGCTTTTTAAATATTTGTTAAATCAATGGAAGACTGGCAAAAGCGCTAGTCTGAATCTATTATCTGAGAACTTTAAAATATTTCTTATCAAGTTTCTCTTTTGGTACAGTAAAAACATACTGGACTCTTCAGTTTACCTGGTATTATCTGGTTGAGGGTTTTGGTCAAGAGAATTCTTACCCTAGGGGAGAAAACACCTAACAACCTCTGACAACAGTAACCTGTACATTGACGTGTTCCAGAGACCAGGCACGCTGGGACTCTCAAAATTAAACCCAACCACGCCTCACACCAGGTATTATCTTTTCCCTTCTTCTTGATCCCATAGTGCTTTTACGCTGAAGCAGCTTTCCAGTTATTTATATGTTTAGATATTTTTTCTTTTTCAGTTTATTTTTCTCCCTGATTATTAAAGTATCATGTTCCCTGTACAAAATTAGGAAAGTAAGAAAAAGTACTAAGAAGTAGGGAGAAATAAGATCTTATAAATCCATGACCTAGAGGGAATTACTGTTAATATTTTGGTATATTTCCTTCTAGTCATTTTCTGTGTACTGTTTTCTTTCCATTGTTGATGTGTGTGTGTGTGTGTGTATACACATATGTATATGTGTGTATACACACACAAACAATAATAAAACCTGCCTTTTATGTAAAAAAGCACTTCCTCAGATCACTAAGGATCTAAATATTCTAAGACATATTCTATCATATCGATATATACTAATTTATTGAGCCATTCTTCTAATGAATGTATGGTTTGTTTCCATTTCTTTTCTATTATGAGTAATACTGTGCTGAACGTCTTTGTGGTCATAAATCTTTCCTGTACCTCTGCTTATCTTCTGGGGAATTATTCCTAGAAGGGGAACTAGTAGGTGTGAGTATTAACATTGTAAGATCAAACTATTTTCCAGAAAGGCTGTAACCATTTATGTTTCCACAGCAGTGTAGGAGGAACCCCCTCAGGGCATTGAGTACTATCACTTTTTTAATCTCTGCTAATTTGATGGGTGAAAAATAACAATTGTTTAAAAGTGCATTTCTTTAATTACTAACGAGGTTGAACGGTTTTTTCTCTTGTTTGGCACCTGCATTCTCCTGTGAGCTGTCTGTTCCTACCATGTCACCATTTATACACTGGGTAGAGCTTTGTGCTTGTTTTATCAATGTGCATGACCTCTTTATATGTTAAGGACATGGATTCTTTGTTTATTTGTTGTATTTTTTTCTTAGGCAAATAAAAAAATTTCTCATTTTTAAGAAAGTTTTCCAAACTACAGAAGTTTAAATTTTGATGCTATTAAATCTATCTTTTCCGGGCCGGCCCTGTGGCTTAGCGGTTAAGTGCACGCACTCCGCTGCTGGCGGCCCGGGTTCGGATCCCGGGCGCGCACTGACGCACCGCTTCTCCGGCCATGCTGAGGCCGCGTCCCACATACAGCAACTAGAAGGATGTGCAGCTATGACATACAACTCATCCTATCTACTGGGGCTTTGGGGGGAAAAAAATAAATAAAATCTTAAAAAAAAAAAAAATCTATCTTTTCCTTCATAATTTCTTCTAAAAATTTTAAATTTAGAAAGGTCTTCTCCAGCCATTCAAAGACTATTTATAGTCTCTAATGGTTTGATTCTGACAATTAATTCTTCAGCCATCTGGAATTTATTGTTATATGGCAAAAGATAATGATCTAAATATGTATACTTTCCCCAAAGAGTTATCCACTGTCTTGGCACCACTGGTTGCATTATGTCCACCTCTCCCATTTTACAGTTTATATAGGCTAGGGTCTGATTCCACCGTAACGTGCTTATCTATTCTCATGCTAGTTTCATGATTTAATGATTATAGACAAAAATAAAGTCTTAAAATAATCTTCTCCTCAGGTACATGGTAGGTGGTCTCTCCATTTGTTTTTGATTTGCAAAGTGCTATAGTTTCTTCACACAGATCCCTCAGTTTTTGTGAATTTTGGAGATGGAGAGAAGGGTGAGAATGGTTGGATGCTGACTGAGAATCACTTCACTTGAGCAAAATGCTCAGCAACAATAATTAACAGTTACAGAGGACATCTTTGCCTGAAACTCCTACATTTAAAAATTACAAAAAATGCAAAATACAGATACTTTATTGGGATCAAGTCATTTCCTTCTACTTGACACCAGATAGCATACCCCCAGGGTCTCACAGGTCTTTTTTTTGTGTGTGTGAGAAAGATCAGCCCTGTGCTAACATCTGCCAATTCTCCTCTCTTTTTGCTGAGGAAGACTGGCCCTGGGCTGAGATCCACGCCCATCTTCCTCCACTTTATATGGGACGCCACCACAGCATGGCTTGACAAGCGGTGCGTCGGTGCACGCCCGGGATCCGAACAGATGAACCCTGGGCTGCGGCAGCAGAGCGCAGACTTAACCACTTGCGCCACTGGGCCAGCCCCCTCACAGGTCTTTTTTGATCTGCAGTCACTAAAATTCAATTGTCACCTAGTCTAATTTCATACAGCAGATGAGAAAATTGGGGCACAAAGAGGTGCAGTGGGTTGCTCCAAGTCATACGGCTAGCAAATGGCAAAGCCAGAATTTGAATCTAGGTCTCCTGACTCCAAGCATGTCTCTAAAGGTCATAATTTTACAAAGTTTGAAGTAAAAAGTTTCCAAATTAAAAAAAAAAGCAACTGGCTTATGTAGCAAGGATTACTGTTTAATTAACATAATCAGATAGTTAAACCCAAAAATAACTTTAATATTCCACCCGAGAGAATGTGGCAGTCTACAGACTGAGTAAACAGAAGCAGATTAACATTATTCTGCGAAATACCTGACTGTGCCAGATACCTGCATAGGTATAGATGGAAGCTAAGAACAGAGAGCTAACAGGGCTTACCTGTAATGAGAGCATCAGGGCGGGATTGCTCTTTTCTCCAAGCAGGAACAAAAACTGTAATATCTTTGTGGCCTCTTTCCAAAAACCAATCCACGGCCAATTTTATTCCTCGGCAGGAAAATACTTCTTTGTTTCCATGGCTGAAAGATTATTTTAGAACACATAACACACCACAAAAGCTAAATTCAACTTAATTAATTCAAGTTTATAAACCGAAATGATCACATAATTACAACAGTAATAGGAGATTTCAAATTTAAGATGGAGTTGTATAGGTTAGAGAAACATTAAGATAACCTAGGAGTTGAAAATGTCAGAAAAAAACTTTAAAATTAGGATAATTACTGTGTGGAGAATAAAGGAAAGTGAGTTTTCAAATGTAAAGTTGTAAAGGTTAACTAGTCAGAAAGATACAAGCTCTTTTTGATCAGGATAGGGAAGAAAGGAAGGGGCCTAAGCCACAGCAAGAATAATTTCAAATTATTCTATAAAGTCAAATGTAAAAAAAAAAGTCACACACAAAAAAATCTGTAAAAACAGTGGAATGGCATACTTAACAGTTTCTAAAAACTTTTCCTTCTCAAGAGTTATGTGTATATTTCAATCCAATGATGAAGTAATGCACAAAACTGATCAGATGACCAATGTAAAACTACATACACACGTGCACTAAAAGGAAAAACATGTTCACAATGCTTAATCTCATACAAGAAACACTTTCCATGTCCTTCAGTGAAAAGACACCTGGTTTCTGTTTAACAATATTGTGTTGGACAAGGATTAATGATGACAAAAGAGCATTCAAAATTGGATTAGCGGTCTTAATGCCTAAAAGAAAATACTCAACGAAAAGTGTAGTCATTCAATAAATATTTATCTAGTTCCAGGCTCTGCTTGTGCACTTTAACCTAATAATTCAAAACAACACTTATTCTAACGTCTTTAAAGAAACAGTCTCCTACTTTGAACGCAATAATTACGTTCTTTTTTACAGTTTGAGCTCTAAAGGCTCCATTTCTCATCTGTAATGGAGAGATATTCTTTACTTCCTGGGGCTAAGGAGGGCTGAATGAAATAAGCTAAGTAAACGTTTTGTTAATTTTTAGCACAAAACATGAGGTATATTAATATATTGTTCTAGTGGTCCCCTGGAAGCACTAGAACCATCTAAATATAGATAATCATTTTAAGGACAAAACAGAAATAGACCAGCTTGCTTTGTTGATACTGAAGGCTACAAATGAAAACCACAGAGACTGTTTATATTCCATGGATCCATTCTAATGGTCCGGGGCAAGATTAGAGGTGAAATCAGATGCACTGGAAGTTTCAGAGAAAGGGATAAGGGAAAGGGGAGTTTGAGGTCACATTTTCTAGGTAAGAAAGCCTACCCAATAGCTTCACCAATGCCCCAGCAAATCATACAAAGTGATGTCAGGTTTCATGGAGAATACTGAAATTTAATCAGTCTTCTGAAAAACCAAAGAAACTGATGATATCATCTCTTGAGAGAATACATATATGCCAACTATTCTTAAATACAAAAACTCAACTTGCTAAAACCTAACTATATTTTTATTTTGCGTGAATGCTTTGAAATCTAAGTGTATTATGCTTTGCTAGTCATTAATGACATTTGGTCTACTGAGACTTGAGCACTTAACTGCTTCTGGCTCTAAAGAGAGGACTGCATAAGCATTTTCTTCCTGGTGACTTCATTTGGTAAGGGCAACTGTTACATTTTACTGTAGGAACAGAAGATTCCATCTTCTCTTTAAAGAACTTTCATAAAATGTGTGTAAACAGCAAACCATTTACAACCATGGGACAAAGATTCTATGGATGCTAAAACAGGATATTGTACCATGTAATACTGACAATAAAGGCTGTTCTCATTATTTTCCCCTTTCCCTCCGCCCCACAACCCCCCACTCCCAAGGCAGGAAAGAAACCTCACAGGGAGAAAACAAGCTAGAGGATGAAAGGTGCCCCACTGTGAATGGTAAACAGAAACATAGAAAGAGCCTCGCTTTCTGAGCAGATGGACCCACATCTATCTCTGATCTTATTATTTGAGAAGATATAACCCCCCCAATTAGTTTAAGAAACTATAGTCAAGGGTTCTGTTATTTGCAGTTAAACACATCCTTAACTGCTACATTAGTCATACCATAAATCAAAAGAAAACTGATAAATCTATTAATACCAGAAAAAAATATATTTTAAGCCAAAAACATTATTAGGGATAAAAAAGTTATTACATAATAGTAAAAGGGTAACAACTCACAGGAAAGCTACAATAATTGTAAACTTAGTCTTCATATGAGTAATGCAAAAGATCACAGGATTACTAGAAGAAATGAACAAGTTATACTAATTGACAGATGAAGCAGAAAATATTTAGTAAGAATATAGATGACTGGAACAATCAGTTACAAGTTTGATCTAATGGACATACACAAAACCCTGTACAAAATTAGAGAAGAGAAAATCTTTTCAAGCACACATGGAAGATTTATAAAATTGGCTGTGTACTAGGCCACAGAACAGATTTCAAAAGACATCAGGAATTTGTATCATACAGACAACATTCTTTGACAATATGTTACTATACTGAAGATATAAGGTTCTAGTTCAAAAATTAGTGTTGTTATAAATCAGAAAACCAATTTAAATTTTTAATTTAAAAAATGATCCCATTTGTCATAGTAACAAAATTCAACAAATCTACAGAAAAAAAGATATGCAAAAGCTTTATACAGAAAACAAAAATTGAAAACCTGTATTAAAGGTCATTAGAAAAGACCTAAGTGAAAGGAACCATGTACCATTTTCATAGTTGGTAACACTCAATTTATGAAGACAGCAATTCTCAAATTAATCTATAAGCGCACTGCAATTCCAACACAAATCCTCAAAGGTTGTTTTATGGAGCTTGAGAAGCTGATCCTAAGACTAATATGGAAAAACAAAAAGCCAAGAATAGTTAAGCAATTTTGAAGAACAAAAGAGCAGGGACGTCCCTACAAGCTATCAATACTTAGTAACTAACATTACAGAACTTCAGTCAGCGTTATATTGGTACAGGCAAAGATTAAAAAATAGAAAATAGGTAACAGAAAAGTGAGCCTAAGGTGATACACACACACACACACACACACACACACACACACACACTTCAGTATAAATGATAAAAGTGTCATTAAAAATCAATGAAGAGGGCCGGCCCCGTGGCTTGGTGGTTGAGTGAGCGCGCTCCGCTGCTGGCGACCCGGGTTCGGATCCCGGGCGCACACCGACGCGCTGCTTCTCCGGCCATGCTGGGGCCGCGTCCCACATACAGCAACTAGAAGGATGTGCAGCTATGACACACAACTATCTACTGGGGCTTTGGGGGGAAAAAATAAATAAATAAAATCTTTAAAAAAAAAAAAAAAATCAATGAAGAAAAGATGGACCATTTAACAAATGGTACTAGGGCAATTGGTTATTTCTATGTAAAAAAACTGTATTTTTATTTCATACCATACACAAAACCAAATTGTAGACAGATCAAAGATTTAAATATGAAAAGAAATATTGTAAAACTTTTAGAAGAAACTATAGGAGACATTCATATCAGGATGGGAAAAGACTTCTTAAAGACACGCAACCACATGCTGTCAAGGGAAACACTGACACATTTGAGCACACAGAACTTCTGTATACAAAAGGTCCCACAAACAAAATAAAAATGCCATAGACTGGGAGAAGGTATTGCAACATACAGGACCAACCAGAAGGCTGGGCCTCAGAACACATAAAGTATTCCTATACATCGAGAAGGGTAACCAGTTATTTTTTTTTTTTTAAGGCAAATGATATGAACAGTGAACTCACAGAAGAGGAAACCCAAATGACCAACAAACATATGAAGAGATGCTCAGTAGTGAAGAAATGCAAATTAAAGCCAAAATGAGACACCACTTCACACTCACCAAATTGGAAAAAATAAAGTCTGCAAACACCAGATGTTGCCAAGGATGTGTGAAAGTAGGAACTCATACATTACAGGTGGGAGTGTGAATTGGTATAACTACTCAGGAGAGCAACTTGGCAACACTTTATGAAGTCGAAGGCGTGCCTTCTCTAAAACATAGTAATTCCACATCCAGGTATAGTAAAACCCCACTGGTAACTTGAAATCAGCTTTACTGCAATTAGCAGTTGGCTGTCATCCTTGGCGCAGCCTTCGCACTCACATGGGGGCAGGCTAATGTCTCATCTTGCACAGGGGGAGGGAAATGTGTGGAGGCAAGTGGGGATGTGTGGGGTGGGTCCCTGAGTCTCCAGTAGTTTCCCAGCCAATCTTCTGATCAGGCCAAAGAAATGAATGCTAACTAGGAAATCCTTGGAATGGCTCCTGTTGTATTAGAAGTACCCGTCAGCTACCAAGGCCCAGAATCATCCCCAGCAATATTAAAGCCTGAGCAGACAACTACCAGGTGGCTCTAAACTGCAGCTGGGACTTCCACAGACAAGGAGACGTTGTGGGAGATTGACCTGTATCTAACCTCAGAAGCATGTTGAAGGATGTGACTAATCATATGTGCTGGATGCAATATAAGGGCAACTGTAGGAGGTTCTGATCAAGAATTATACAGAGTAAGCCTGATAAAAAATTGCGAAAAATTGGATGTGAGAGTGAGCGCAATGTAGCTACTGGTGCAAATTAACTATCTGTTGAGTGTTTACTAAAAAAGTAGGATGATGTTTAAGAACTGTAGCTTTAATTCCATATAAATAGAGAAGAAAATTCATTATAGTTCTGTAGCCACTTACAGGCTATATTTGCATGTATTCAGGGTTTTTCCTTCTCAGTAATAAAAATAGCTAATTTTATATTTATGAATTAGTATGTTCCTTTGGGTCTCGATTCCTTTTTTATTTCAGCAGTTTGGCAGTTAAGATGGTATACCTCAAGTGAGTCCTTCTGCTGTGAATGTGCTGGAAGATTTGTGGCCACCTTTGATTAGGTAAGAGACCCAGAACGTTTGCTAAAAAGTGTTCCTTTGTCTACTTTGGCTCAGTGTGATTGGGTTCCCAAGGAAAATTCTAAACCTTCACTGCAAATTTTGAGTTCCTATTGGGCAAAATGGGT